ATAAACTTTTCGATTTTTTGAAAAAAAAATTGCTTTCTAGACTCCTCCAGAAATTTGAACAAGAAGACCGCTAATATTTAAGAAAATGGCATATAAAACTTGCCTTCGTCCTCTTGCAATTCTTTTCAGACCTTTGCTGTTTTTGTCAAGTGATCCTACTGTAATTTTTGTTTTAGGTTTCAAAGCAATGGATTAAAGTTTCATTATCTGTTTGAATAACAGACAAACTTGGATAACTACATTTTCTGTTGTTTTTTTTTTTTAAATAATTGTTTAGATATTCTTACACGCTGTCGTTGTCACTCATTTTTCAAAACAGGGTGACCATTGAGTACTAAGCTTTTTTACTGTCATATGTTTCTTTAAAATAGTGTGAACTACCCCCCAAATTAATGCCTATCCAATTTGCTATGTGTCTTAAAAAGTCAATCAAACATCATAAGTGATAATTTGTTGAATTTTGGCAAACAGAATATTGCTTGCTGTAAGTTCTTGTCGCCAAGGACGGTACTCATTTTTGATGCCCGACATATCATTACTATACACTCCTGCATGAAAATCTTTATTACATATTGCCATTGTACACCTCCTAGTTTACTGTTTGACCGAACCCATATTTTGGGTTTCTCATAACAAAACATGAACATTGAAATTATATTCATATGGGAGGCGGGGGTATCATTTAGTGAGCTCATTGCTCACAGTACCTCTAGTTTACAAAGCAGTGTCTCGAAAAGCCCTTGTTTCTAGCTTCTCACAATGAAAATATAAGATGAAAAATGGTCACACAAACTGATATCTTCGTCCTCCATTAATGTGCCTTGCACCAATGCTGGGCATTATCGCACATGTTTTAAAGGTTAAAATCATGTCGACGAAGGCCTAGTTAAAATTTGGATAAAATCATTAAATTCTAAAAAGAGTAGGTGCTGATTCCGGCTTTGAAGGCCTCTAGTGAATCAGCTGTGACCACGGATAGTGTTAAAGAATTCCAGATCGCTACTCCGACTAGAAAGAATGAGTCCTGGTAGCATTTGAGATGACAGAATGGTTGTAAGAACCTTAAATCATGTCCTCTGGTGTTACATATGTTTATAGGATGTAAATGACTGGATGGTATGTCTATGTAGTCATTTACAATCCTGTACATTATGGTTGCTCGTGCTGTTATCCGCATAGACTGTAGGGTATTGGAGCATAGATGTTACACTGCTCTCCCTGCTGTAATTACCCATGATGTATCGTGCAGCTATTCGTTGTACCGCTTCAATCTGCAAAGAGCGTTGCTGTTGATTTGACTCGGGATGGTAGGTCCTTGATGTAAACGAGAAACAACAGTGGGCCGAGCACTGTGCCCTGGGGTACTCCCGATGTTACAAGAGCAGCAGATGACATTTCCCCATCAACAACTACTTGTTGGCTTCTGTGAACTAGGGCGCTTCTGATCCATTCCAGGGTCTGTCCTCTCACAACATAGTGCTCCAGTTTGATGGCTAGTCGATGGGGGAGGCTTTGTCAAAGGCTTTGCTGAAGTCAAGTAAGACTGCATTTACCTGTTGATGTTGGTAGAGACTACCTGCTAGATCATGGATAGTTGTTATTAGCTGAGTATGTGCTCTGTGGTCTTACAGCACACAGATGTGAGAGACACTGGACGGTAGTAAGATGCTTTGGATTTGTCACCTTTCTTGAATAATGGAGTGACATATGCCGTTTTCCATTCATCTGGGGCTTACCCTTGGTCTATTGATGATTGGAATATTATGGTTAGTATAGGAGACACTGATGTTGCCATTGTCTTCAAAAATCTGGCTGAGATGTTGTCTGGTCCACTAGCCTTGTTAGGGTTCAGGTTATGCAATAGTTTGAGGACACCTTTTTCTGTGACGTTGGTGTTATTTGCCTCTCGATAGGTTGATTGACCAAGGTCCGGTAGGTTACTAAGTGACTGTATGGAAGACAGATGAGGCCCGGTAGGTTACGAAATGACTCTGTATAGAAGACAGATGAGGTCCGGTAGGTTACGAAGTGACTCTGTATGGAAGACAGGTGAAAACTGCTGATTCAAGATCTTTGTCTTATCTTTTGGACATGGTGAAGCAAACCCTCGTTCCGCAAAGAGAAGACACCTGAACTGTCACAGCGCTTACTCTTGATGTAAGAGTATAAGCTTCTTGCTGGAAGGGCTCTCCTCTCCTAACATATTGTTAATATATTTGAGGTACGACTTTCTACACTCTTTCCTGTTGGTACTCTGGGCCTCGCGATATTTTCTCCAATCATTCAGGGTGTTTGTTATGCGGGCCCTCCTATGTGCACGTCGTTTCCTTCTACTGAGTCTCCGGGTGTTTCTATCACACCATGGTTGATCAAAACGACTTGAAGTGAACTTTGATGGTATTGATGGAATGAGTGCAGATGTTCTTGAAGTCATTCCATCTACTGGTGCATTCTTGATGGCATGATGCTGAAATTTGGGCAGATTCTCTGTCAAATCAGAACTAATAGTCACAGTGTCTGTTGATGTCAATTAATACTACGTGTATATCATGATCATTTATTGAGAAGGTATATGGTCTATTTGTTGCAAAGATAAGAAGGATATTATTACCACGTGTTGGGAAGTCGATGACTTGCTGACATCCAAGATCACTAAAGGTGATGTCACTTTGATATCAATTCATTAAAGATTCAATCATGAGAGAAAGTCAAGCTTAATGTCATATGATATCTGTGTTGTATGTCATAGGCATTATTTATTGAACAGCCCTCGTACATTGAGAAGATACTACATGTATCTGATATTGATTTTCTGTCCGATTCATTGTTGCCAAATTTTCATATTGTCAATTAACATGTATTTTACATCAACATATATATAACTTAATAGTGCTCATTTAAGATCTAAAAACGAGGGTACTCATCTCTTATCCGCAACTCCTCCTATACCACTGAATAAAATTTAATGAGACTTTTACGGATTCTTTATTACCGGTACTTTATGTAAATACGTTAAGGTTTCCTTTTTGTATATCATAGTGATTACGTAAAAACGTAGTATGTTACCGGCCCCCGTGGAGATATCCAGAATAGAGCGATTGTGAAGAATAAAAAAAAAAAACTAAAAAAGCGAGTAAAAAGTATTTCCTAACCATCAACTATAAAAATCTTAAACGATAAAAATCTCAACTATATATAAAAAAAGGTTTTTTTTAGTTGAGGGGATTTTCTTTCTTTCTTTCTTTTTTTTTTTTTTTATTTTTGCTTTGCTTTGTTTTATTTGGTTTTTTAGTTCACCTGAGCTTTCAGCTCAGGTGAGCTTTTCTGATCACAATTTGTCTGTAGTCCGTCTGCCCGTCCGTTCGTCTGTCTTTCCGTCTGTAAACTTTTCAAATTTTCGACTTCTTCTCCAGAACCACTGGGCCAATTTCAATCAAACTTGCCACAAAGCATCCTTGGTTGAAGGGAATTCAAGTTTCAAATGAAGGGCCACGCCTTCTCTCAAGGGGAGATAATTAAGAAATACAGTGGCATGTTTGGAAAATCTTCTTTTCAAGAACCACAGAGTCAGGAAAGATAAAACTTATGTGGAAGCATCCTCAGGTAATGTAGATTCAAGTTTGTTCAAATCATGACCCCCCCCGGGGTAGGATGGGGCCCCCATTGGGGGATGAAAGTTTTACAAAGGAATGTATAGGAATTTTTTTTTAAATCTTCTTCTCAGGGGCAACAAAGTAATAATTAGTCATACTTACATGTATATTGAAACATCCTCAGGCAGTGTAGATTCAAGTCTGTTCACATCATGGCCACAGGGGTTAGGGTGGGGCCACAATAGGGGATCAAAGTTTTACATGGGAATATATAGGAAAAATCTTTAAAAATCATTTTCTCGAGAACAACAAAGCCATGTTTGGTCTTATTTATATGGAACAATCCTCGGGTAGTGTATATTCATGATTGTTCAAATCATGACCCCTGGGGGTAGGGTGGGGTCACAATGAACGATCAAAGTATTACATATAGGAATATATACTAAGGAAAAATCTTCTCAAGAGCAACAAAGCCCTATGTTTTGTTAAACAGTATTTATTTTGAAGCATCCTCGGGTAATGAAGATATAAGTTTGTTCAAATCATGACCCCTGGGGGTAGGATGGGTCCCCTACGGGGGGGGTCAAAGTTTTACATGGGAATACATAGTAATTTTTTAAAAATCTTCTCAAGGACAACAGAGCCATGGTTGGTCATAGTCATATAGAAGCATCCTAAGGTAGTTTAGGTTTAAGTTTGTTCAAATCATGACTCCTGCAAAAGAGTGGGGCCAAGATGGAAGTTCAAACTGAAAGGGAAAAGGCAACAGAAAATCAAAGAAATATGTAAGCATTCTTAGTTTACATTCTAGTTAATTCAAGTCACCCCCCCCCCCTTGGGATAGGTTGTGGTCACATGCATTTAAGCTTTCCAATACTGGATTGATTTTTGCATTTTTCATAGCCACAGTGCTCGGGTGAGCGATGCGGCCCCCGGACCTCTTGCTTTTGTTTTTACAGTGAAAAACTTCACACTCCTGTGGCTGAATGAATAAGAAGTTTTGCAAACAGGATTTGATTTTTTAACAAGGAAAATGAATTGGTGGAGGATTTCAATTCAATGCAGATGATAAACAATGTTGCTAGACAAAATGAAAAAAGTATACTTCGTGTATATTTAATTTTTAAAATTATTTTATTAATTTTATAACAATAAATTAGTACAACCAACAATTTTCTCCATTTGTATTTACAATTTTTTTTAAATACACAATCATAAAATACTAGAGGCACACATTTATGTCGTTGTATTAAGGGTATACAATTAACAGGGAATGTTGAATTATGCGTGAACAAGAGTTTGGTTCCTTTCATACAAATAAGGGTTGCAATATTCAGAAAGCGGACAAACGACCAAACCCTGTTATGAGAAAATAAATAAAGATGTATATTTCTCTAATAAGAAATCCTAGTCCATATCTAAGGTGTTGTTCGATGTCTCAAGTTCAATGTCCACGGTTCGATAATTCAGAACACTGTCCGAGGTTCTAGCCACATGTTCCTTTCTCTTGCACAACTGATTCACTTTCTTCTTCAAAATTTTTCTAAAATTTTGTCCACATAAAATATAAATAAAAAAGTATATAGAAAAGTTAAAGTAGTAAAGCACCAGAAAGAAATGTTGCAACACTCTGTCCATGTGTGATGTCACAGATGTTTGTCCAAGTATATTCTCCAAAGTTGCCTTCATTCTGATTGCATGGCTCGGAGTATGCAGACAGACGAAGACAAGTGACACGCTTAACAACATTTTGGTGACTTTGGAATGTGGTAAAGTGGATACAGGGCGGATTTTAGATTTTGTAGAATTTACACTGGAATAAGACGAGGTCTTCCGAAGACGATCGCGACGTTTCGCGGCATCTACCAAGCTGACGGCGATGATGCAGATGAGAATAATGATGATGACGAGGGGGATAACGAGCGTTAAAATCGTGTCAACGTACGTCATAACTACTTCAAAGCGTTCAAACTTATGCAGCGTATGACAAAACCTTTGTTGTGGTGGTTGTGGAGGGGATATGTCCATGGTCCACAGAGGATAGTTGTACAACATACAACCAAAAACCACTCCAAGAATTGTTATCCGTTTGGCGATGTAGCGGCTACAAAGAGATCGAGAATCAGAGGGGCGACATATTCTGACGTAGTTTTCAATGGTCACCATCACGACAGACCAGACGGACACAAATCCACAGACGTATGAAAGATACAATGTCACATGACACACGACTTGCGTGTGGAAGATTCGAACATCGACGAAGTCCAGCCATGCCACTAGAAGAGACACAAGAAAACCGTTGTCCGAGATAGCTTTGACTGCAAGGTAGATGCTGCAGGACTTCTCTCGCAGGGATTTCCCCAGGAAAACAGAAGCAGTGAGCGTGTTCCCTAAAAAGCCAACAATGAAAATTACTGGCATAACAACCAACCGTATTCGAATCGTCAGACTAGCTTTGTCTGAGTACCCGTACACAGAGTCTTGAGAGATTGTCATACCAGTGGAATCATTCATAGTGAAATGACTTGATACCGTACAGCATCGCTATCTTATATGCGCAATGCTGCCGAGTTATTGGTCGCATGGTGAATGTGATAATTACCTCACTATTAAATTCGTCAATATATGTAACTTCAACACTGCATCAATATATAATGGGTAATAAGGGACTATAGGTTTACTGTAGACATAGAAACAGTATTGCATGTCATGGTAACCATTCTTGCAGTTGCGCCTTTTTTATTACCCGATGTTCTTATATATTTTTTACGCTGAGAAAAATTCATTATATTCGTCTGTTTCAACGAAATGTGTTCACTATAAATTATATAAATATATTAGCTGTTTTATGTAAAAAAAAAAAAATAATAACGTCTTAAAATTATTTATTGCCACTTTTTGACAACTCGTACTTCAACCTTTGGAGAAAAGACTCTCTGCTTGGTTGCTGATAGTTTTGGGTCTTAAGCTTGCAATATTTATTACAAAGTTTATCTGTTTTTGCTCGTAAGAAAATAAACACGCATTGAAATTCGTAACTTTTCGTCAGCAACCATACAGGTTTGGTGGACAGAGGTACAGCCCCTCTTTCTCCTTTTCCCTCTCCATCTCTTTCCTTACCCCATCCCCGTTGTTTTACGCCCCCGCTTTTCTCTTGTTTCTATCTTCTTATTATTGTACACACTCCCAAATACATATAGACGTTTTATGAGCAACAGAATTGATTAGCGACAAAAATCAATAATTTCAATGTCATATGTCCGTTCGATGCAGAGATTTATAAATCAGATTTCAGATTCAGGATTAAGACTTCTACTTCACACCGGAATATGACATCCAGCATTGGATGTTCTTAACACAGTTTCCTTGCATGACGAAACCATGTCAAATACACTCGCTTTCATCATCAAGGTCTTATAAAACCCAAGACGTATATAAAAAAACGAAATATAGTAATGCTGGAAAACCAAATCTTTTAAACGGATTAACTTTTAAAGTTTTGCAAAACAAGACTGAATTTTGATTGAAAGAAAAATCACATACTAGTAGGCTGGCATTACTATGGATACCTAATTGTTTTTGCGTCATATTTTGAAGTTGAAAAAGAACACAAAGATATAAGCGTATAATTCTTCTTGAGCAAAATCGCCATTAAAAAGTATAGGTCGTCGTCAAAATTAGTTTTGCCACCTTTATTTAAAAAAGTTTTTGATGCGTTTTATTACTGTATTTAAAGAAAACATTTTATGCTGGGTTTGCTTCTGTTTTTAAAGAGGAAAATTTTTTTCTGAGTTTTACACTGTATCAAATGACAACATTGTTTCATCTGGATTTTGCAACTGTGGTTAATGACGACAGATCTTTGCAACTGATTTTAAGACAAAAGTTGTTATGAGTTTTGCAACTGCTTTAATAGAAAACCTTTTCACTTGAGTTTTGCGAATACATAAATTAAAGACAACCGTTTTGCCAAAGTACTGTGTTTTTGCTGTTTCTGAGTGTTGCCACTGTTTTTCGAGACAACTGTATATCTTCAGTTTTATTTTTGTTTTAAAGACAAGGGTTTTTGGTTTAGTTTTGCTACTCAGTGACAATGTTTCAAGCTTGAAGACAACCGAAAAATTTTTGGTGAGCTTTTCGACTATATTTGATGTCAACAGTTTTTTTCTTTTTTTTCAATTGTTTTAAAGACAATGTCGTTCTGCGTTTTGCCATTGTATTTAAATACAAATTTTCCCCGCGAGTTTGCAATTGTATTTCATGACAACAGTTTTTTTTTTTGCAATAGTTTTAAAGACAATTGTGTGTTCAGAGTTTTGCTACTGTTTTAGAAAAAATTTTCTATAAAATTTTTTTATTTCAAAACATTAGAACGCTTCAACTCTGGTCAGTAATTAAGACCGCGGAACATTAACTGGCAAAATTGGAAATAAACAGCTTACGTCATTTCTATCTGTTACAATCAAAGCATTCAGTAATAGACAGTGAAACATGGTGAAATGACGTGGGGAACACATCGGATTGAAATTGCAGATCGAAATTCATTTTCAATCCACCGTAGCTGTTTTCAAAGCAAAGAGTGAATGTGTGATCCAAAAATCAACTAATTTCAACTTCCAAATACATATTGTTTGAAGTTCACATTAATATGAGTTTTAGCTTATAATTTTAAGAACGCGAAAGATCATAGAAGACAAAGATTATTTTTTAGGAGATATTTGATTCTAGAGGGGGGGGGGGGGGATTATTGAGTCAGGTCATGGCTTAACATGACAATATATTTTATTTCTAGGATTATAACAGTGCATGAGTTTTATACTTATTCTCACTGAAAACTGTTGGACAACTTTATTTAAAAATCACCCCCTCCCCCCTCCAACACAAACATATACACATATTTACCAAACAGAAATGAAATATTTGTCCCTTAAATATTAATTTATTTAAAACACTGGACAAAAAAATCAAACTGTACCAAATTTGAAATTATTTGTCTTCTGGGTCAATCAGTAATAATGTGCCTTCTAGCGTAGCTGAGGTGGATTGAAAATATGAATTTCGATCTGCAATTTCAATCCGATGTTTTCCCCACGTCATTTCATTGTCTGTCACTGAATGTTTTGATTGTAACAGATAGAAATGACGTAAGCTGTGTATTTCCAATTTTGCCAATTAATGTTCCGCGGTCTTATGCCATATGTATATTAACAGTTCATCCCCAGTCACAGCAAAAATGACAATGTTGTGGAACTTTTTTCAAAATAAAATGTATCAAGCATATTGAATTATGTAAGAAAAGTACAAGGAAATCTTATGAATGCTAATAATGTTCTTTTTTTTAATTTAATTTATTTATATTGTAAGTGAAAATTAGAGGTACTGTGAGCGCTGGGCTCACAAAATGATACCCTCCTCCTACTCCAATTTATAACAATGGCGAAGCCCCCCTTTCTGCTATGGGAGGCCCAAAATAAGTACCCGATCAAAAAGTAAATAGGTCACAATGGCGCTATGAAATAAAGAATCTGTAAAAGTCTCATTAAATTTCTTTCAGTGATATAGGGTTGATTGATTTTATGTTGTTTAACGTCCCTCCCGAGAATTTTCAACTCATATGGAGACGCCACCACTTGCCGACGGAGAGCTGCAAATTTCGTCCTATACTCGGCACTCAGATCTCCATGTCACACAGTGGGATTCGAACCTCCGACGTAAGGATCAACTCCTTACTTTGCGACTCTATCTAGAGCAGACGCTCTAACCACTGCGCCACGCGGGCGACCAGTGGTATCAGCTGGGTAGAGGAGCTGTGGATAAGAGATGGGTATCCTCAATATTAAGGAGGGAATGGTGGTGTCAATGGTTTGCTATTAGAAACCAAAAATATAACTTATAAGTCCGATCAAAAAGTAAAAGACGGGGTGCACAATGGCACTATGTAACAAAGAACCTGTGAAAATCTCTTTAAATTTCATTCAGTGTTATTAGAGGAGTTGCGGGTAAGAGAAGGGGTACGGTGCCTTAAAGCTAGCTGCAGAACTGTAGCATTATGGTTTTATATACTATCATTCTTTGACCATGTATAACGCTTTGTACAGATCCCGTAATACAAAAAAAATGTGCAATTTACGGCGCAAGATTTTTTGCGCACTGTTTGGGAGATTTTCTCCACTTTCCAACATTGGTAAATCGTCTACCTTTCCCTCCATAATTTTAGACACATTGTTTAATAAATATGTATATTTCATACACCTCCCAACCCTATAAACTCGCTTGAATTAGAATTTTCTGCAATCTTAGACAATTCGAATCAAGGGTTGAGAAGAGGATAAAATATACAAATTGATCTAAGAATGTGTCTGGAATTAGGGAATGAAAGGTAGATGATTTACCAAAGTTGGAAAGTGGGAGATTCTTCCAAACAGTGTGCAAAAAATCTTGCGCCGTAAATTGCACATTTGTTGCATTGCGGGATCTTAAACAGCGTTACGTCAAAGACTATTATCATACCTCATTATAAATATTCTAAACAACGCGTTATCTGATTGGTTCGAAGTAATCACGTGAACGGGCCGTAAAACTTCATATTTCCCGGCCGTCGGCACGCTTTTCATCATATTCCACCTCTTCGGAACACCTAGTGCATTTTCCCGCAATATAGTTCTTGTTCGTTGAACAAAAACTTCCGAGAGGAGTAGACTTCACAATAGCCTGGTTTACGTCACAAAACTGATGATAATGTGTTGACCAAAGGATTTTATAGTAACTTTACGTAAAAAATGATAGTGAATTTGAGAGCGGTGCCGAATTTGAAAGTTTATGTTTATTTTAAAGGTTTTGCTTTTTCGGTATAATAAACAATGCATTGCATGAATGTTCGGGAAACATGAAGACTTATTCAGCCAAGAAATATCATATTCCCCTCGGGCGTAGCCCTCGGAGAATATGATTTTTCTTGGCTGAATAAGTCTTCATATATCCCTCATAGGGCTGCCACGGTTCAGACATTTTTCGGTTCGGTTCGGTTCAGAAAATAAATTCTCGGTTTTCGGTTTTTTCGGTTCGGTTTTCATTTTGAGAATTTAATTAAAACATCTTTATATATATCAAAGGATGATAAGGATTAAGGACATGTTAGAAAGTTCTATTTTGCTGACACAAATTTCTATCCATTTTATTCAACAGAACAAGTTGTTAAATGTAAAAAAAATAACAAAGTAATAAACTTCTTGTTTAAAATAAAATAAATATAGTTATTGACTAGAATTATCACCAAATCACAAGTGTGGGAATACTTCACGTTTTTGAAAGTAGGGGACGTGGTTGACAAAACAATTACTTGTGATTTGGTTTTCCTTCCACATGTGTATGCCATGTTTAAATGTCTTCGATGTTACCTGTATTTTCATTGGTTAAAGAACCCTTCATTGAAATAAACAACCAATCACAACGCGTGTTGCAAGCAAATTAGTATTATATAAAAGATAAAAAAAACCGAACCGAATTCCGGAAAA